CATTGATGTAGAAAGAAAATTGGTTTGAGGGTTTTAGTTTCCCTGTTGTTTTCCCACTGTTTTATGTTGTTTTTAATACAAAATTTATACTTTTTTTAGCCAAGAAAAATTGCGACCCATAGCTTGAAAAATTATTTTTTAAACTTCCAAAAGCTCTCAAAATTCTGCTACTTTTGAGATGGATTATATTAGAATCTTGTTGGTTTGTTGTTTCTAGGTTATTTTATGATAAAACAGATCAAAAATCTGCTATTTTTTAGCTTTGACAAAGGTTTGGAGCGGGTCAACTTGCCAAAGGAAGAAGAAGACACTGCAATAGAGAAATCTCAATAAATCCTACAGGTTAGGGTGAGATATTGAGAGAGATATCCTATTTATATTTCTCACTAAAAAGTCTCACGACCAATAGAAAATCCATTAAAATCGTCAACTTTTTGAATACCACAAGATTATTTTTCTTTTGTTTTAAATCTTGATTGAATACAAACAGATTTGGACGGACTCTAAAATAATCTTTTAAGATCCTAATCGAGTACCACGTGAATTTTTTTCAGTCCTTTTAAATCCTAATTGAATACCAATGAATTTTTTGTCAAAAAATAATTCATTAAAATCCCAATCTAATTCACCCTCTAAATGTTCTATCTTTGGGCCTTTGGGATTGTCACTTATGCTGAATCCTTCATCCCTTTAAGTATGCTGATATCAATATGCAAATTACGGTCTCACTAAATTTCTTACCTTTTCAAAAAAAAAAAAAAAAAAAAATTAAAGAAGGAATTGTTGAGAGGAAAGCCCAAAAGTTAACAAAGTCATCTCCTTTCAAATACAATTTCAATTCCTTTTCAAACTTTGTTCGACATTTGTGAATCACTTTTGCATGCCCAATTGATAATCTTGAAAGGGTGTAATGACTATCTATAAAAGATTTTATTCATGCAAAGGATTTTTTTTTTTACTTTAACACAACACAAAAAAGAGAAAAATAAAAATAAAAATATTGGAATAATTTGTGGCTTCAAAAGATTCACGAATTGAAGTCCTTCATAAATTATTATTTGTTTAACACCAAACTAAAATAAATATATATCAAATCTTTGAGACTGGTAATTTTGAAGGAGCGAAATCAACAAATCCTATGGTATTAAGTTAAAAGTGGTGGCCCTTATCAAGAAGCCAGACTGGGTAGAAAAGAAACAATTCAACCTGATGCTGGAACATAATGCAATCGTTACATACGTAATGCAATCAAGTCAAAGGAGCATACAATTAGTTAATTTTTTTATATAATTTATTAATTATTAAGTACTTTTATTTAAGATAAGTATATAATTGCTTTTATAATAAATAATATTATATATATATATATATATATATATATATATATTTATTTATTTGTGTGCATGCGTGTAAATATTTTGTAGACGTAGATACATAATTTTGAACTTAAACAAAGTTAATACAATTTTAATTTATAATCCATTTGTTTTGTCTAAATTTTTGAGCAATATCATTAATATAGTAGCATTTTAATTTTTTTTTTTGGTGAAAATAGCATTTTAATTTTGATGGTTAATTAGTTAAGCCTAAACATCTACTATTATTAGTTTAATCACCTTATAATATTCAAACTTTACTACTTTTAGTTGTTTGATTAAAGAAAATTATTCCATGTATATTAATTTTTTTAAAAATAAGCAAAACTATATCATCATGGTGTAAGATCTCTATTTCACTTTTTATTTTATATATATTCATAAAAACTTTCGTGTACTTTATGTTTAAATAAAAAAACATGTTATCAACAAAACATATAAAAAATTAAATAAGTACTATTAAAATATTTAAAAATTAAAATTTATAAAATAAAATTTTAAATAATTAAAATAATACTTAATAAGTATTATATTAATGTATTTTAAGTTTTTCATTTGAAATTAATATATGTAATAATTTTTTTTAAAATTAATATATTTATAATTGATATTTGTTTAAATTTTTTAAATAAATATAAAAAGTAAATTTCAAATTTCAAAAGGTTAAAGATTTAAAAAGTCAATAGAAATATATAAATAAGAAAAATAAAAACTTAAAGAAACAAATAAATTCAAAATTTAAAAAAATAAAAAAATTAGTAAATGTGACATGGGATAAATTAGAGTAAAAAATATTATATTATATATCTATTAACTAAATGATGGTAGCTCAGTTGTCGCATAAGAGTAAAGCAGATAAATGTGAGAGCATATGTTCGATCCATTCCAATACCATATTTGTGAGGGGTTTAAAACTTTAATCTTAAACCTGTCTCGAATAAAATTGCCTTCGTTAAAAAATACCTGTGTTTTATCAAAAAAAATATATCACTTAATTCCATAATCTTACTTATAAGAAACTATATTAACTTATTTTTACTGTAACTTTTTTGTCCTAAAAAGTGAGGATAAAATAAGTTTTATGTCTATCTTTTAATAGGAGAGACTTTTATCTTATGACGAGACATAAGAATAGTGAGATTTACTAAAATTTAAAAAAGGAAAATAAAAAAGTAATGACACTCTTTTAATGGGTTAATAGGAATTTTTTTTTTCTTCCCAATAATTTGAGAGACGTATTTTCCATAAAATAATGAAAAAATATTTTATCTTTTTGAAGGACACAAGTTATATCTTTTTAGCTACTAATAATTATGTATCACAAGGAATATATAGTTAATAATATTAATTTTTTTTTTTTTTACTTTTAACGTCAATCGACAGATTTTAAAAAGAGAAAAAAATACAAATTTAATATTATAACTGTGTACTCTCTAGAATACAGAGTTATAAGCAGTTAAATCATACCACTTATGTCCTTTTAAAGGACAAATTATTTTTCTTAAAGTAATAAGTAACATTTGTACAAAAAAAAAAAAAAACAGATAACAATAGTAATAAAGTGATTTTATATAATCAAAGTTTTAATTTATCTCAAAAAGAAAAAAATGTTTTATTTAAAATAATATAAAAATATGTCATTTAAAATAAATTTTTTAATTTATATTTCCCCCCATAAATATTTAGGTTGAGGATTAGAGAGAAAAACACACAATCCAAAATAGAAAGTAATAAAATAGTAATATCTCTGATATTATAGGAGATAAAATAATTTTCTATACATATATAAAAATGTGTAAAGTTTATTTTTTTTCACATTAGTTTCACACATTTTTTTATGTATAAAAAATAATTTTATCTTTTACAACATGATAAACGTAAAATCCATAATAAAAAAAGCAAATAGACGAACGTCAGACGCTGTCGATTGAAGGTGAAGGGACCACAGATATTGGCGTTTTACCCCCCACTTACAAGTCACCATAAACTTTCACATTTTCTCATCTGCATAATAAGTTCCAAACCTTAAAAAAATAAAAATAAACTACCAAACCTTAAAAAAATAAAAATAAACTACCAAACAACAAGTGGATCAAATTGTTACAACTTAATAAGTGATTTTGAGTTATTAACAAATAATACAGTTGTGTTAAAATTTGATAGAAAAATATTAACTACCGGATAATAATAATAAAAAAAAAACAAAACAACTTTATGCTAATCTAAACGTTGAACCTAACGGCACATAATCGTTTAACAATCATTGTGTTTCACTGCTTCGCACTTGCAATTTTGTTCCCATCCATACCAACAGCTTCCTAGCTGAGAGTCTCCACACTCACCCCAAACCAAATCTCATCGAAGTTCTTTAAGATCGCATTAAGGTAATCACTCTCTACTTCACTTCTCTTCGTGCACCTCTAGCTAATAAATAATAAACTTCACTTTTTTTTTTAGGTAGTTTTCTTTCCCCATAAGTTTAACGTGGTTCGTTGATTTCAGCGTATAACACCACTATCAAGGTGCATATAGCCCAAGCTATATTTTTTTTTTTTTCAAAAGAAAGGACCTAGCAGGGAGTTGTTGGATGAAGCTTGGAATCAACACCTAGATCAACAGCTAGGGTTTCACTCGCTGTTGTACGATAGAGGTCTTTGTCGACGTTGTGGTTTACGTACCCCATGTGAGCTTTAACTTGTTCTTGTTTTTAACCTTTGCTTAGGTTTTAGGGATTAGGTGAGTTCTGAATGGTTGGTTGCTTCATCTTCAACTTCACCGACGCATAGATTGAGAGGATGTTGCACTGTTTGGTTTTGTGGTTAGGTGCTAGCTCTCGTGCTTTCTTTGTTTTTGCTTATGAGAAAATAAAGGTGTAAGTAGAGACTTGTGAGAAGTTAAACAAGCACTTAATAGCGTACTTATTTTGATACTGAATGAATCAGCTCTTAATCACCCTCCAAGTACAACTAACAAAGCTTTATCTTAATTTTTTTTTTATCAGACAGTTTTTCTTTTATTTATTTATATCCAATCTTGTTTCTTGTGTAATTATTTTGTTATTTTTTTTTTCTTAATTTGTTTTATCATAAACAGTAATTTTTTTTATTATTATTTTTGTATCCAATTTTGATCCTTGTGAAATTATTTTGTTATAATGTTTATTATCTGGTTCCCTCCCACCTTGCCCGTGCTCTCGTTTTCTCTCTGCGGGTCTGTAGTGTAATTTCAAATTGATTACTTTTTGGGTGGAAATTATTTTATTAAATTTAGGTAGAAACATTTGTCATTTTAGAAGAAATAACTTGATTTTGGTGCATTATAAGTTAAAGGGAAAACTGTCGCAGAGGAGAAAGAAAGTAAAAAATAATCAATTATGCATCAAAATAATATTGTTTTAATTAAAATGATATAAATTTATGTCTTTTAAGAATTACAATTACTTCTCCCATAAACTTATAATACATAATGGGGATGGGATACTATTATTAATTATTATTATTACTATTTGATTATATTTGCTATAATTAAGGTGATGATGGATATTTTTTTCTCTGAAAGGCCTTGGCTGATTGTTCAGAGTTAAGAAGCTTTGGCGTTGAAGGTGTGAACTTAAAGAGGTTGGGAATGAGCAGCTTAAGGCCTGAATTGCATGTTGCACAACAAATTCGGCGCGACAAATTAAGGATCCATAACAGTTCCCAGCATTTGCAAGAGTTCCCGAACTTTCAAGTTAGGAACATTAGAAATGGCAACATGCTTGATGAGGCATCTCTTTATTCATCGGAAATGATAAGTTTTTCAACGGATTCGAATCCTTTATCTGCTCCTAGAAACACGTTGGAGTTTAGTCAGGAACTAGGTTCTTCATCCGAACCAAGTAGGCTAATGATGCCTCCTCACTATGGTAATTCATTTCCCCATCCATCTTCCCCAAAAGAACAATGCCAACAGCGTAACTTTGATTGGATGATGAATTATCAAAACGAAAGAAATCCCAACTCTTTCATGGATGCTGAGCTCAATAATAATGTGTCTTCTACTCACACTTTCTATGGGAAGCCTAGTTCTAATGTGCTTACTGTTGCAAAGTCTTCTCCAAGCCCAGAAATTCATAAGCAACTAGGGGAAATGCATTATCCTTCTTCTTCTTCTTCTTCACCTTCACTTTATCATAATGCTTTGCAGGATATTTTCAAATCAGCTTCTAATATTGTCCACGGTTCAGAAATTCCTTCCCTGATGCAGCATCAAACTGGTCATGGAACTTGGGGTGGGAATCATAGTGAGCTTGTGCTTCATCCAAGCTATGTAAATCAAGCAAATGATCAATTGCATATTGACAATACCCTTCGTTGGAATGATCAACAAGTGAGGGATTGCAATCCTCAGGGTCTATCCTTATCACTTTCTTCAAATTCACAATCCAAGATTTCTGGTTCTCATTTTGAAGAGGGGTCTGCATGTGATGATCTTCAATCTTCTAAGTTTGTGAAATCTATCATGAAGCCGTCTATGATTTCTAGAGATTGTGGGAAATCACTTGAAGACCCGATTGGAATGGTTGTAAACACTAGTAGTTATCGAAATCTTGGTCCCCTTGGTCCTTTCACTGGATACGCTCTAATTCTGAAGAGTTCAAGGTTCTTGAAGCCTTGCCAACAGCTGTTAGATGAATGCTGTTGTCAATCTAGTCCTAAACTTGTGAAAGCTTGTGATATTCCAAAATGGATCTCTCGAGAAGTTGGTGCTTCTACTTCTGCTGGTGCTGTTAATGTTGATGAAAGTGGGGTTGCTGCAAAAGTTAGTAATTCAGGTCTTTCTTCATGTTCAATGTTCTATAGTTCAAATGAAAATAACGCTGATGGTGGAGCCTCGAGTAGCTTTTGTCTTTCTTCTCGGCCAGAATGCCAAAAGAATAAGGCAAAACTCCTGTTCATGCAAGAAGAGGTTGGTTTTCACTTCTCCAATAATAACCCTTATAGGCCTGTTTTATGATTTTGCTTTTATGTCTTGTTTGTTTTTGGCATAGTTAATGTCTGTCAGGAACTTAATGTTGTAATATTGTAACATAAGAAAAAAGGCCGTATGCTTTGACACTGCCGTGTGCAACAAGTAGTTTGGTGTCAGTTACTGTGGACGCAAATCTCTTGAAAAGTTAGGTTTAGTGTAGTACATTGTATTTGTGATCAGTTACTTTTTAGTGTGCTTCTAATTTTATAGCTTAGAGCTTTCATAATATTTTTCTTATTGGTTTGAATGATATGGCTATAGTTCTCTCAGCTTGTGAAAAACAAAATGTAAAGTAATAGAACCCTCATCGCATTATGTGCCATCTGGGTTGTTGGTGATGCTATTGTTCTCATTTCATTGACTAGCCTCTCTCTGTTCTAATTAAGACTTTTTTATTATCTTTTTCATTTGTTTAATTGTTATTGTTGCTCTCATCCTGTACCATTGTTTTTCTATTTTCATTATTGGTGATGTCATGCTTGAGTTTGAATCTCCTCCAAACTTGAAGCTGGTTCTTCGGCTTTACTAGTACACTTAGGCAAAGACTAGCTTGCCCCACACCTCAGAAAATTAGAAACAGAAGATTGAAGGAAATGTTTATAAGGTCCAATACCCTTATGAATTGATTTTGGTATATGTTCTTATAGTGTTTGCATTTGATATTTTAATTAGACAAACACATTCTTGTGGAATGATGTGATTTATAGGAAGTAAGTTCCTTTTTGAACTTTCTATTGCAATTTTAGGTTTTTGTTATAGATTCGATTGTGTGGAGTAATTTCTATATCATCTATAATATGTAACTCTTGCTTTGTTCATTGGCGTTCGATGTTTAATTCATATGCCTTCTTATTAATTATTCTACTTTTCTTTAGTGAAATTTGGTCCTCATGTTTATATTATTCGTCAATGGCATATCTTATCATTTGCTAAGAGTCAAATTTGCTAATTTAATTGAATCAATCTTGGCATTTTCATTTCAAAGTGAATTAAAAATTCAAAATAAGAAATCTTGGGAAAAATATTTTCAATTAAGGAATAGTTAATTAAGTGAAGAAAACATTTTAAATATCATTAACTAGTTAATTGTTGATTAGAAATCTTTTTAATAATTTTTTTTGTGTAATCTTAGGCAATTATTTAATTTAGCTCCCTACTTTAGAATTTATGGAGTTGTCTTTAATTGTAGCAACATGACTGGGGTGCTCTTGAATTGATATCTTTGTACCTTTTTCTTTGTATTCACTTGGACAATATGGCATTCTCTGTTTCCCTGTTTAGTAAATCCTTCCTTCCTCCTCTTCAAAATAATTGCATTTTAGCAAATGAGGATGGGCACAGTTGGCATTCTCTGAGTTCGAATCCCACTGGCGAATGTGAGGACATTGTTGGTGGACGATCTATAATCCCTCCCAAAAATCCTCAAAGAGGTTAAGAGGTTTGCTCTGTCCCTGGTGGGATACAGGTGTTTAACCCCACCTAAACTTTTAACTACTAAAAAAAAAAATTGCATTTCATATATAAAAGCAAATTGTTACTTATTGGAGGGTTTTAGGATATATTTTTCATTCACATTTGTACATATATTCACCCACACTTGCACTATGCACCATCTCAGATGTCGATGTATAAAAAAAAAAAAACAGACTCTTTTTTTTATTTTGAAAAAAATATTTAGAAGCAAATGCTTTCAACCCTATTCTTAATACACAAGCAGATTTGTTGCTATAATTGTCTAAGATTCGCTTCTTGTCCACAATTATTTGCAAAATGATCAAGGAGTCCAAAGTATAGCCAAGAACAGTGCTAATTGATAGCCTTTCAACTGTGTGGACGTTCCACTTTCCAAAAGTAGTTTGTTTCTTCCAAATTCTCTAAGAAAGAGTTTGAAGGAATACCCTACCTCGTTGCCATCAACTTGCTCAAATTGGTGGGTTATTAGTTGTTAGTTTTTGTCATCAACTTCAACACACTTTTCATTATTTTACCTAAATAATTGTGGTTGTTGTAACAATATACTAACATCTTGTTATCATGAATTGTACACCATTGCTTTACTAGGCTTGTTCTAATAGTTGTGAGTTTCTCTGGTTAAACGAATTCTAATATTTATTGGTTTAGAATAATACAATTCTTGGGCTTATACTAATGCTAGTTATAATTAATGTAAATGCTTTTAAGAAATTGTTGTTGGCACTATTGCACTGGGTCTTAATAGGTTACCAGGGGATACAAGCAATACCATCAACAAATGCAAATGGTTGTTTCATCCTTTGATTCAGTGGCGGGTCTTAGTTCTGCTACCCCTTATATCTCCATGGCTCTCAAGTCAGTATCAAGACACTTCAAATGCTTAAAAAATGCTATCTCAGATCAACTCAAGTTTGTATGTGAAGTTTTGGGAGAGGACTTTTCAATACCAACAACCACAAGTACTAATAGTAAATTTGACAATTATATGACAAGGCTAAGGTGCATGGACCCAAGTTTTCAGAAGAACAAATCTGGTGGGGGTAACATAGACTTTCTTGAACCCCAACAACATGTGTGGAGGCCCCAAAGAGGCTTACCAGAACGCTCTGTTGCAATTCTAAAAGCCTGGTTATTTGAGCATTTTCTTCATCCGTATGTCCTCTCTGTCTCTCTGATTTCTTATGTGTGAAACTATGAAACTTCTGTTTTTTTTTTTTAAAATGAACAAAAGGAGATTGAATTATGGTTTTCTTTTGCTGTTCAATTTCATTTCAGGTACCCCACGGATACTGATAAACACATGTTGGCTACTCAAACGGGTCTATCACGAAATCAGGTGGGGGTCTACTTCTTTTGAATTCATTATTATGACTATAGTCCTTTTTCTATTTGCTTGATTGAATTCATTATTATCACTATAGTCCATTTTTTTATTTGCTTGATTGATTTTGTATTTGACATGCTCTCTTGTTGGCTTCTTAGTGGGTCCATTCGGTGGGCCAAATATTTCCAACACAAAATTCGAAGTATTAACTTAATTTATGGGATCCTTGATTTATATATTTATTTTCACTCTCTAGGCTTTCAGTCGATATGTTTTCATTAATAATTATATAAGAAACCTATATGATTTTATTCTGTTTAATTTCTTGTTTATTTCAAAATCTGTGAAGGAAATGGTGAAAATAACACTTTCGTGTTTTCACTACTTCCTCATCTAAACATTAAAAACAGCATGCCATTTTTGTAAGCGGCAGATTATTTTTTATAACGATGTAAGAATAAGAAGTTTTAAATTAAATACTGATCATTGATTTGCTTGTATCTAACGGCTCATATATTTAATAAATTAGAGCCGTTCGATATAAATAGGATCAACGACTAAGATTAATAATGTGACTTAACCAGTATAAAATGATCACGACTTTTTTTTTTTTTTTTTGTAATTCTTAATAAAAATATATCATTTGAAAATAGAAAGCAAACCAAATGCTACCTTATGGGTTGCTTTACAATTTGTTTTGTTTTTTGTTTTTATATTTTTGGCCATGGGATTTTATCATTTTTGGAGTAGACATCTTCAAAATTAACATAGGCAATTATGTTTGTGGTATCATAGATTTTTTTTTTCCTTCTGGAATAACAATGTAATTGATAAACGTTCGTAGGTATCAAATTGGTTCATAAATGCTCGAGTTCGTGTGTGGAAGCCAATGGTTGAGGAAATACACATGCTTGAAACAAAAGGCATAACGGGTGCCCACAAGAACTCTAATAATTATGAGGGAACTTCTGCCTCTGAAGGTAGCAAGTTTGGTACGCATGCAATCCCTGAAAAGCAATTTCAGTGTTTGGAAATGGGGTCATCCTCAGCTTGCAATGAGGAAAATGGAATAGATGAAGAACAATGGAATCAAGAGAAGCGGTCTAAATTGGAATGTCATATAACATCAAGCATGGATGGGACAATGATGGGTTTTATGCCATACAGACATGGTGGATTTGAGGTTGGGGGACTTGGATCTGTGTCACTAACTTTGGGTCTTAGGCATGGTGTTGAAGGTGTGCAACACAAGCAACAGGAGGAGGAGCTTAGACCTAACTTTGGAGGGCACATGATCCATGATTTTGTCGGCTGATTAACTTGTTTTCTTAAAGAGTTGGGGATGGTAATAATGGTAAGGGAATGAATAATAGGGACAAGGAAAAAGAACCCCTTTTGCAACTGAGTCATGTGCCATGGATGTGACAATGAAAAATTGTTCCTATTGGCCAATGAGAAGGAAAGGGGAGGGAGCTTGTGGTTAATGTATGGTCTATTTAATTACCTTCCAATTTTGATTCAAAGTTTGGCAAGATAAGCAGTTTCCATGAGTGTATTTGGAAGCAGTGGCGAATGTGTTTTGAGGTGACTTAGATGGGGTTGAAGGTGGCGGTGACTTTTAGGTTGAGCACCCTACACCTTGCATCCTCTCTCTTTTTTTGTAGTTAGTTTGATATTAACTTATATGTTGGGCACGGAAAAAAAAAAAAAACTAGCTAGGGAGAAATATGATGTGTAAGATATTTTAACATACGTGTATGATGGGGAACAATTTTCTCTCTTCCTCCTTGAAAGTAAATAGAGAGGTGATTGTGTGTATAACATCAATAGCTTGGTTGTGAAACGTTGTTTCATGATCTGGGTCATAAAATTATAGGTGAATTTACAAGTATGGTGATGTTCTCAATTGTACTTGGATGGCATTGAGAATGATGTTAAAAGAGTTTCATATTGGTCTGTCATGACCGTTTATTTATAGGAGAGGAGTTTATATATGTTCTATATCTGCAAAATTAATTCAACATTGTTTTGTATTGAAATATGAATAGTGAAGTATGGTTGGGATAGATTGTGAGGACTGAGGCCCAAGAGACCTAATATAATGTGTGTATCGATCATTGGGGCTCTTAATAAAGACCTACAGGTTAGGTGTGGCATAGAGCAACGTGACCGGTTTAAAAAATAATAAATTTTGTACTTCTGAAAAATATTGTTAAATTAAGGGGATAATATTATTAAATCAAGGAAAAAACAAGTATCATGTTAATATTATTTTCCTATAGACCACATAGGTTTCATTTTTTATTTTTATTTTCTCTCACCACTCTTTTCTCTCTCCTCTCTATGTTCGTGTACGTAGGAAGGGGTACTGTTTTCCTAAGGAAAACAAACCTCTTAAATTAATGCAGTTACTCGGGCACATAATACATATATAATTAGTTCTGTATATTTTAATTAGAAGACTATCATGCTGGCAATAATTCATGCATCATAAACATGTGAAACTAGTCTTATTGAATTTGGATCCACTTACGTGAAAAAGTGATTATGTAGTCATGTTATTTGATCATAATCACTCATTGATGATGACATAAGAGAAAGAGAAAAATATATAATTTTTAAATGAGTGGCTGTGATCAAATAATATGACCATATGATTACTTTTTTACATGAAAAAACTCAAATCCAATTTTATTTATTTCATATTTTACAAGACTAGTCTCGTATATTAACCATATATGCAAGACTTGATAGCCTAGGACAACTTTAAGTTCTTCTGCATGATTGATATGATACTAATCTCGTTCGATCAATGTGTGGACAAATTAGTGGTAATTTCTATTCAAAAAGTTGTCCATTTCACGTGTCGACTAGCTGCGGATGATGTGAGTGCACAACTAGCTATGCATGACTCAATTAAAGTTAATTATGATTATATCATAGCAAAATAGTCGTGGCTAATTAGTTTAATGTTTAAATGCGTCCTTACCTCATGCGCGATATGAACACGCACCCCTTAAATTCACGTTTAAACACATTATTTTGATAATTTTTTTCAATTTTCAATTATTTTATTTTATTTTATTTTTTAAAAATCTGCTTTTGTATGGTCAAAAATCCATGTTTAATTAATAGTATCATAATTTACAATCATATAACCGTCTCCAAAATTGAAAATTTGTTTCATAAGTTATAGATTCAGATGAGTAAAGCTGAAAAGTGAAGACCCGAACCTATTGAAATATACAATGCATTTCAATTTAATATTCTTGGTCCCTTAACTTAAGCATTTTCTTAATTAGTTACCGAGTGATGGTGACTACAATGTTCAGTTATTGGCTTCTAATCTATATACCTATGGTGAAGGAAGACTGTGAAGTCAATAATGGTAGGACAATTGCTATAAATGCCTCCTTTTGATTCATCTCGCTGGCAGTGACTTTTCACAACAGTAACAAACTTAACTAGTAAAACCTTTTGGCACCTATGTCTAGCTTAAATGGTAGATGAATTTAAATTCAATTCTTGAAGAGTCACTACAAAATACAAGGTCTGTAGCGATATTTTAACCACATTTATTAAAATGTTGATAAAAATCCGAAAATATGCTTAATTTGCGACATTATTTTCAAAATGAAGTAAATTTTTTTGAGTTTTTTATTATTTTTTTCTAAAAAATGTTTTTCATTTATTTTATTTTTTTGAATATAATTTCTGTTCACTCCTTTATATTCGTCTATTCTGTTAGGGATAAACCCAAAAATTTATGTTCATCCTTTCCTGCATAAAATCTAATAGAGTTCAGCATGAAATTCAGTTCCTTTCTTAATCCGGAGCTTCAAATCTTGGTATTTGGTACATAAAATTTCAAAGCAAGTTCTCCATTTCCACAAACTAGAATTTTTCGGTGCTAAGGTGACTCTGCTTGCAAATCCTTATAGATCTATGAATGTTCTCAGTTTTTTTATTTTATATATTTTTATTTAATTATTTTTGAAATTTAAGGTTTAGGTTCCATCTCTATTGATGTTAAATTCAAAGTGCTGATCTCATATCTGATTTGCTTGGATCATTCATTCTTCGTCGATGACAAACATGATAATATAACAAGTGGCACTAAGATTCACATGAATGTGCAACTGTACTCACAATTGAAAAAGCTGTAAGTAAATGTTCCACTTAAGAAAAGTGAACAGAACTAACTCCTGCACAATGTGTCACATGAATGTGCAACGACAGTCACAATTGGAAAAGCTATAAGTAAATCTTCCATTCAAAACAATTCTATTGGTTGTTTTTATATAATAGAACAACCATAGAATTTCAATGACTTGATTTGTCACTTTAGTGTTATCAAAAGTATGTATATATGATCGAGATGGGTTAAAGTAAGAAAGAGGATGTTATGCATGAGCTTGCTGTAGAAGAGGACCAAGGCCCAATGGATACTGATGTGAATTGGGATGAGGACACAATGGATCAATTACCAAGCCCAAAGGTTAGAATATCTAAGAGGAGTAAGGTAAGGCCTAAATGGTTAAGGGATTATCAGGAGTAATGTACATGCCGCAAGGGGAGCACATGGATCAAGGGCGTGTCGCTGATACCGTTAGGATTTAATTGCTGTTTTGTTATTTACATTCTGTTATATGAGTGAGTAAGTATCTGGTAGGGAATGGACAGTGTGCGTTCCTTTCTGTTATAGGTGAGAGAATATGGCTATATATACCTATGTATCTTACCTTGAATAAATGAGAAGAATTTGCATTTCCAGTATTTCTGGTTTAGGAGGAATTATCTCACCTCGAAGAGAGATAGCTTACTTTACCTTTGTTATCTGTTATTCTGATATAGCCTTAGTGCTATCATTGGTGCTTTCATTGATTTTTTTTTCCTTCTTTTCATCCATCACCATGACCGGTCCTCCTGTTTCTTCTGATTCCACGGACTCCACCCTTGCAAAAATTTTGCAATCCCAGCTACACATCCAACAAGACTTAAAATCCATTAATCAACGTGTTTCTTCGTTAGAAGCTAGCGCAACGATTCCCAGCTCTACTATGAAGGGGTCTACCTCCGGGCCTCACTCCACCGTCGTTCCGACGGAAATCAAAGCTGCTACTATCAAGCTTGATGTACCACGTTTTGATGGATCTGACCCTCTGGGATGGATCTTCAAGATTACCCAGTTTTTTGAATTTCATGGCACACCAGAAATCCAACGCCCTTGCATTGCGTCCTTCTATATGGAAGGCGAAGCCCTTGGCTGGTACAAATGGATGTTTGCCAACGGTCAAATCACCTCATGGTCGGGTTTGCTGCAAGCCTTGGAGCTTCGTTTTGCCCCTTCACAGTATGACGACCCCAAGGGTGATTTAATGAAATTGCTCCTAACCGATTCTGTACGAGACTATCAAGCTCAATTTGAGAAACTCGCTAATCGATGTATTGGCCTACCTCCACCATACCTCCTTAGTTGCTTCATATCTGGCCTCAAACCAGATATTCGCCGCGATGTCCAGGCTCTCCAGCCACTATCGTTGGCCCAGGCAATCGGGTTGGCTCGTCTCCAGGAGGACAAGTTGCAGGACCAGAGGGCTAGTGTTCGCACGAAACCATTCGTTTCGTCTTCACCTTACTCTGCCGGTTCCAACCGCGCTCCGGTGGTTACCTCTTCTCTGTCGTCCGGCACCGCAGGCTCTCCGGCAAACCCCTCGAGTTCTGGATCGAAACCTTTTCCTGGATCCAAACCACAGATCCGCCGTCTGCTTCCGGCAGAGCTCCAAGCACGACGAGACAAGGGTTTATGTTATTATTGTGATGACAAGTATCATCAGGGTCACAAATGTAAGCGCACCTTCATGATTTTGATTGTTTCACCAGATCCGGACGATTCTACTGACATGCAATATCTACTGTTGGAAGACTCTGGTCTGCACCCTTCACCGGTTATGGATTCTGAGCCCCACACTGCTGCCGACACGGCTCAAATTAGTTTTCATGCCTTCTTGGGTCACACCGTGCCTCAGACTCTGAGGGTGCAAGGGAAGGTGGGGTCAGCCCAACTATCTATTCTCATTGATAGTGAGAGTACCCACAACTTTGTCCAGCCCAGGCTTGCTCGTTTTTTGGGCCTTACCGTGCAACAGGCCCAAGGTTTCCTGGTCCTGGTAGGAAACGGTGAAGAGTTGAAATGTAACTCTTGGTGTAAACAAGTAAGCATAACTATTGGGGATCACAAATTTGAGGTCGATTTGCACTTGCTTCCAATTTCTGGGGCTGATTTGGTCTTAGGAGTTCAGTGGCTCAAAACAC